ATGCTAATAACAGGAAAATGTGATCACCCCTGTCCTTGCAGCAGAGTTCCTCTGGGAAGTTGGATAAGTCAATTTAATCATAATTAAATAACTTGAGTGATAACCTGTGCGCTGAGCTGTCAAAGTGGTGGGCAGTTTCAGCAGTGACTGGTGCCCACAGGAGCTGAGCCCTGGCCAGCTGAAGTGCTGCTTAATGCCAAATACCCCCAAAAAGGGAATCCTAAACTCCAAATTCGTGGATGCATTCAATCTTAATGTCTCTGTACTTCTATTCTTCCTTTCAATGGTGGTAACACCTTCACATGTCCTGAAAGGGCTGCAGGAAAAATAAAGCCATTGGTAGTCTTGATATGCTGAAGAACAGGGGCAAAATAAAATGCTGAAAGGTTGTTTATGAAATGTGCATAATCTCTCTTGTACACTGAACAAGGGTAAAGGTCCTGGGTACTCATGGGTCCAGGATCAAAGTATATGATTACAGAACTGTGGAATTAAGGACTGTGTTTCAGTGCTCATCAACAAGCAAGTACAAATATTATCCCCACATTTTCTGACCTGTAAGTGCTTGGCTTTACAGTTTTAGTATAATTTTTGTGTATGTGATTTACCATGTGCTACAGCCTTATTACATTGTTCTAGTCTTATTACTTTGTTCTGATCAAATTGTTCTAGAGTGTTCATGGGTCTTCATCCTTGGCCATCTCCCTATAAAGAATGTATCCTAAACTATCATGAGTGACATGTACAGGATCAAGAAAGGACCCAAACCTCTCATAACCTCACCTAACTGTGCCAATCTCTCCTATGCTCTGGGGAAGAAATTTACAATAAAATACCTTATCCATCTTTAGTAACATTTTTAAATTCTCTTATCTCATGGCTAGAATGGACACCACAAGACATTTTATATAGATCAAAACATCACCACTGGCCCAGTGTTGTATCAGGCCTCAGCAAGGAGTAGCATTGAAGGTAATATTCATGTTGGTGCCAAGAACTGGACTAAATCTTCCTTTGGAATATTATATTTTAAAGTGAGTAATGTATGTTGCTTTTTGAAGTTCCTTTGAGTTTGGAAATTTTCATTGTAAACAGGCAAATCAAGTAGCTGTATGTTTTTATTTGTATTATGCATTCTCAACCCAGGAAAATTCAGAGGCAGAAATTTTGTTGTATCTGAGGAAAAAAAGGAAAAGCAGAAAGCTCAGAATTGTCTGGGAAACATACTTGAACCGATTTTACTTTTATCAACATGCTTTTGCTTTTAATATTGTACATGTCAACATTGTGCTAATGAAATATAGCACATTTATTAAAGCATTTCAGTTGCAATCAGCATTTTCCAACATAAAATCTGTCCAGTACAAATTTTCTAACCAACTCCACCCAAAAATGTTTGCAAAAAAATGCTGTCTGCAAAAAAGGACTCAAGAAACATAATTTTATTGTGCTGCTTCTCTGGCTAACTCCAATGATAACAACATGAGCCATTGTCCTAGACACACTGAAGAAATAAAATTGCTTGGAGTTCTAATACATACATATAATTAATACCAGCATCAGAATTCACAACGCAGAGTTAAAATAAGTTCTACCCTCCAGTCCACGCTAACCAAAAAGAGATGATGCTGGACAAGAACAATACTTCAAATTATTTTTACTTACATTTCCATTCAATACTGACTTGGCTATCTAAAAATAAACCCACCATGTGTTATCATTTAATAAGATCAACATTTATCATTATAGATGTGTTCCTACTTCCCTGTACCAAAATCAGCATTTTCTCTGTCTTTCTCTCTTCCTCCCTCTCTCTCCCTCTCACAACACAGGTTTGCAGATACTGCGGGCCTGGATGTTTCAGAAAATATTGTCAGTTCACCACCAGTCACTGCTAACAAAGAAAATAATAATAATAACAATTAAAAAGTGTAAAGTTTAACTTTTCATTCTATTTTTTTTTACATTGGAAGATACCTGTCTACAAAAATAATATCAGAATAATATATCATTTATTGGCAGACATGATAATGTAGATATGCGTTTAAAATGAGGCATTGAAGGGCACTATCCAGCTGCACATCAGTCGGCGACAGCAAGCAATGGCCATTAACTAAAATAGCCACTAGAGGCCTTCATTTGTTAGGGGCTGTCAGGAGTGATGAGGACAGAGTCCCGCTGCCCACCCAGGCTGGTTCCCCTAAAGCTCTGGGGACTCTGCTCACTTCCCCAGCAAAGTGCAATTCTCTGCATGAAAAAAATATCTCACAAGAGCTCCAGATGGACATGTCAAGCTGATTCTCCCTCTGCCCATCGTCGGAAAAAAAAAGGGGGAATTCATAGATAATCCAGTTGTGTGATTTGTTACAGGTGAGATGTGACATTGCAGGAGCAGTGCTCCTCACGGGTGCCTGCACACTGACCTCCTCCCCGAGGGCTGCTTTCCCACCAACCCCAACCTCCTGCAGACACCTTGGCAGGATAACAGAGTGGTTCCACTCAAAAACCATGAAAACGAGGAAGTCTGCTGAACAATGGTGAGGGTGTTTTCTTTCCAGCCCCTGTGGCAGTTTAGGATTAAATGGATGTGCATTATTCTTTCTCTACTGTACTGTGGACATGAAGTTGGTGTAAATGTGCCCAGGGATTTATTTGCTGCCGCCCCTCCCCATCTGCGAGGCTGGTATTCTCCCGCTAGCTGCCTGCTCTAAATATGGCCATGGCCAGTGTGTCAATAATCCCCCTCTTTAAGGGACCTGCAAACACTAGCGTTGGGACATTCTTGCTGTTCAGATGTCTAGCTGACGTCTGATGCTTAAAACGGAGCATGCTTTCATCCCTTCCTGCATTGTCGTAAGCCCCTGATGATTACTCTTAAAAGGGTGCCTCTGCTATGCAGGGAAACAGTTGCTGACCAAACGAGACACAGCTTACTTGCTTCAGCCTTCTTGAATGCCTAGTCACTTCAGGTTTGTACTGGCCTGACCAAGCGGGACCATGTCTACCTTTGGCTACAGAAGAGAGCTCAGTAAATATGAAGACATTGATGAAGATGAGCTCCTTGCTTCCCTCACTGAAGAGGAGCTGAAGGAGCTGGAGCGGGAGCTGGAAGACATAGAGCCTGACCGTAACCTTCCAGTGGGACAACGGCAGAAGAGCCTGACAGAGAAAACACCAACAGGGACTTTCAGCCGGGAAGCGCTGATGGCCTACTGGGAGAGGGAGACCAAGAAACTCTTAGAAAAAGAGAGATTGGGTGCATGCGACAAGGTAAGATGCTGAGGCATTCACTGTTCCCTAGAAATATTTAGGCTTGTTCTTCCCTGGCATAAACTTGCTCACTGTGTTCATTTTCTTTCAGTCTCTTGTAGCATTTTAGAGAACATTGTTAGCCACACTTCTATGTCTGCTAAAGCACTGTGTGTTAGCTCAGGGAGGTTTTGCTCTTCCTCTGGAGATACCTTAAAAGCTTAGTTGAGAACAGAAGAAAAACCTGTAAAAACTATGGTTTGTGATTAAAACGGGAATTAATTTTAAAGGGCTTATTAGAAATTATGGCCAGGTAGTGATGTGGACTTTGGGGTAACTTTTGATTTTTTTTAATAGCTAAAAAACTGTCTTTATCCTTCCTTTTGAAAAAATAATCAGTATTGCCTGCTGCAAAGCACGTCAGGAAGATAATTTTGAATATGTGTTATGTCAGAAGTTGAGTAAGTGTCTGCCAGGCTTCATGCTCGCTGGAAGAAAGCTGCATTGCAGTCAGCAGCTTATGTTGCTTTGTTTCTACTGAGGATCCCTGGCACAGCTCGGGAGTCTTCTGGCAACTGTTGTCAGAGGGTAGCTGTAAGTTATTTTAAAAGTAGCCTGGGGTAGAACCATCAGCCAAACCATTTATCTGTATTCCCCTAAAAACACCCAATAGTGCTTGTTGGGCAATTTGTCCCCTGGAATAAAAATGTTAATAATAAAAGACGGTCCCTGAACTGCAATTGAACAGTACAGCTGGGCAGGAGTGAAGGGTTCAGTCCCAGCAGGTGATGAGAGCTCACAGTCCAAGCTAACGTCTCTGTCTGCATCCCCTGGGCCCTTGCTAAAGAAAAAATAGTTAGACTACAACAAAGACAAAGACAGTAAAACTGGATTCAGAATTTCAAACGGCCTTGATTCATGAGCTCAATAAATTTGCGAGGAAATAATTGTAGTTTGTACATTAGATAAAATATTCTTCTAGAGAAAAATCACCCGAATTAAAATAGCCTGCAATAATAATATCCAGGATTTCTTTAGCCGTGTTTTCTCCTGCTTGTGAATGGTGGTGTAATGTCTTTGCAGGCAAGTGCACAGACCACTAGCTGTCATCAGACCATTAGTGTCAGCTTGCAGACATTGACTTCACTCCCTGTTTGTCAAGTCCTAGGGAGGCAATGTCAAGATTAATGTTTATTTCCAGCTGAGCCTGGAACTCAAAACATGGACAGTTCCAAAAACTTTCTGGACAGGTCTAGCTTGGTGTCTTATATAATAGCAGATTTTTTTATTTTTTTTTTCTTTTTCCATGTCTACACAGCACTAATGATGGGTACTGGCTGAACCTCAAAGTGCTTGCAAAAGCCTCTATACTTTTTGGTCTGAGAAGAAACTTCCTAAATGCATCCATAAATATGAAAATGTAAACACACTGGTATAGAGGGCACAAATGCTCTCTCCACTGAAGGCAGTAAGTAGGCTCCTTCTGAGTTTCTTGCAAGTAATTTTCTTCTTGTCCTCAACTGTCTGAAAGGTAGACACCTTGTCTAAGGTGGTTATTTGTGCTCCTTCTATAGTTAGTGGTGAGAGATCAGCCTCTCCAGAAGGCAAACATCCTGCAGATAGCCTTTTAGAGTGAACGACTTGCTCTTTGGAGATATTTACCTTTTTGCATTGACTATCTTAGTCCTGATTTTTCATCAAGTTACTACTACAAAGTAAGATGAAGCTCTGCAGGCTGCCTGCAGCAGTCCTATACTGAAATGCACAATAACAGAGCATGCCTCTATGGATCTGCAAAGAGAAGAGTACTCGCTTTCAAAATTGTCATACAGGTTGTTATGACACCAAATGATGTATGTGACAGCAAACTAAATTCTCCCTTTTACCCCAGAAATGCCACTCAAAAAAAAAAAAAAAAAAGTATTTTTTAAATTAATCTAGTGTCATCAAGTATATTAGCAGCCCTTTTAAAGGCACCAACTTATGCTCATCTGTGTTGAAGGCTGTAGTATATATTCCTGGATAGGTAAAAGCATAGCCATGAAGACAGGTTCCTGGATACCTGCTGTTTTCAGCTTTTAAAAGTCTGCATATATGTTTAGAAGCTTGAGATATAAATCTTAGTCCCATAATAAAACTGGACTAAACACAGCCCTGTTTCTATATGTAGCACAGCATCTCAGTGTAAGGCCCTTCCTGCACATGATCCACAGCAGAAGCAATGGGACTGGACCCTGCAAGCCCTCCAGGCGCTGAATGCTCAGGAACACAGGCTGGAACAGTTCGATGTCCTGTTTCATTGGAGTCACGTTTCTGCAAGCATTACAATTACCATTTGTTTTGCATGTGTCTCAGCCTAGAAATCTGTTTAAGGTTGTGAAACAGTACTGTGCAATCTGTCATTACTGTTCTTGTAACCTTTCCCTAAATTTTTGGAGCCATATAATTAAGCACACCTAAAACTGCACAGGTTTTCTAAAAATAGGCTGTCATGTTAGTAATGATTTTGTTTGCCAGAAGCAAAAATAGAATCACTGTGTCTTTGTAGAATGTACTCACTTTGTAAAATAACCCCCAGTCTTACAAAGACTAAAATACAAAAGTTGCTAAAATAGTGCATATAGAACAATTATATTTAATTATATATTTATATAACAGTTATATCGTCCCTGCTGATGGCAGGGGGGTTGGAACTAAATGATCTTTAAGGTCCCTTCCAATCCAAACCATTCTATGATTCTATGATATTTCATCCAAAATTTCATAAACATTTACAAACGTAGATAAAAAGGCATATGCTATGGCTTATCCAGTAGACAAAAAGGGATATGGGAGATCTTTTTGGGCAAGAGGCTTAAAGTTGGTGATAGTGTGAGGGTTCAGTCATGGCCTACATGCTTCTGGAGTCCTCCAGATGGAGAATGAGACTTCCTTGGGTTGCAGACCTTTTGCTGTTCCTGCACAGAGAACTGTCCTCTCCCACCATAACTGCTGAGAGCAGCAAGCAGAGCTTTGAGAAGTAGATCCAAATTTGCCATTTTGATGCCCACCAAACACACTAAAATAACTTTGGGGTTTAGAAAAACAGTCAGTTTACTCTGTAGGCGGTGAGTTACAGTATGGTGGCTGACCTGTGACAGCTGTCGAGGAGCACAGTCCTAGCTCGTGGCAAACATTTTGGGATTATTGACATGTGATTACTTGTTATCTGTGGGATTGTGTCTGAGTGATTTCTTCACAAATAGCTTCCAAGTGTGTATAGCCCATACAGCGCGTCCAGAGTCTTTTCGACACAACTCCTGTAATTCTGCATTATTTTGTATGTTGATATGCAAGTTTACATTTGTAAACATTTGCAAAGATTTACAAACACATTTGTATTCTAAATCATGACAGTCTTTAGCTTTTTTAGATGTACTAACATATGCAAGGGTGTCTGAGCACAGACACAGGTGTCTAATCCTTCTGAAATCAAGAAACTCCGTAGATCATGTCCATTCTGAAATTGTGGTCTTATGTTTCTGTTGGCAAGGATCTAAATAGCAACCCCTTGTGAACATGCCAACACACAGAAAGCATGAAGTATGTCCATGCTGCAGTACCTTGTATCAAATTTTCTCCTGGAGGAAATAATTGACGTCAGTAAACCAGTTCCAATTTATGCTAAGCATTTTTCTTCTAGAGAATATGAATGAAATAATGTTAAAAAGATGTTAGGTGCTGAAACATTTTCTGTTCTTCTGTCTCTGTGTCTGGGGATTTATTTTTAGCTTTTAATACTAACTTACATAGTCTCAAGATAATTGTTTTTGTGCAAAAAGGCAGTAGCTACATTACTGTGATCTTGTTTAACACCCATACCTACATTCCTGTTCAGGACTCTGAGCAAGAAGAAGACAATTCAGAAGACATTAAAGAAGAATATTTCACAGAAAGCAATAGTGAAGTGTCTGAGGAGGCATATACTGAAGAGGATGAGGATGAAGAAAAAGAAGAAGAAGAAGAAGAAAAAGAAGAAGAAGAAGAAGAAGAAGAAGAAGAAGAAGAAGAAGAAGATGAGGAGGAGGAAGATGAAGATGACAATGAGGATGAGGATGAGCAAAAGCAAAGTGCTGCATCTGATGAAAGACCTGAGGATAGCAGGAGTTCTGACCACATCAGACGCAAAAAGTATAATGGTGCAAAGGATAATGAAAACTTACTCAATGGCCATGATGGGAAAGACACTGATAATCTGAGCTCAAAGAGCAGTGCCATCCACCCTTGTGGAAATCCAACTGTTATTGAGGATGCATTGGAAAAAGTTAGGAGCAATGACCCTGAGACCACAGAGGTCAATCTGAACAACATTGAAAACATCACTTCACAGATGCTTATACAATTTTCTCAAGCTCTGAGGGACAACACAGTGGTTAAGTCATTCAGCTTGGCTAACACACATGCTGATGACAATGTTGCAATAGCTATTGCTGGTATGTTAAAGGTAAATCAGCATATAACTAGCCTGAATATTGAGTCAAATTTTATCACAGGCAAAGGAGTACTGGCCATCATGAGGGCTTTGCAGAACAACAAGGTTCTAACAGAACTGCGGTTCCATAATCAAAGGCACATCATGGGCAGCCAGGTGGAAATGGACATAGTTAAACTGCTGAAAGAGAACACCACTCTGGTCAAGCTTGGATACCACTTCGACCTTCCTGGCCCAAGAATGAGCATGACAAGTATCCTGACAAGAAATATGGATAAACAAAGGCAAAAGCGTATGCAGGAGCAGCGGCAACAAGAGTCTGGTTGTGATGGAGCCATCAATCCAAAGACCAAAGTCTTGCAGAAAGGGACACCTCGGTCCTCACCTTATGTGTCACCAAAGAGCTCACCTTGGTCCTCTCCAAATCTCCCTAGGAAAGCACTGCCAGTGAAAACTCAGCCACCAGCTCCTGCACCTCCACCTCCCCCTCCACCCCCACCTCCTCCTCCTCCTCCCCCAGTTATTCCAGAGAAGAAGGCACCAACCAGGAATATAGCTGAAGTCATCAAACAGCAAGAACGCTCAAGAAAAGCCTTACAGAATGGACAGAAAAAGAAAAAAGGCAAAAAAAGCAAAAAACATGAGAACAGCATATTGAAAGAAATCAAAGATTCTCTAAAATCAGTCTCAGACAGAAAATCAGAGGAAGGTTCACGACCCTCCACCCGTCCCTCCACCCCACAAAGGTCTCTCCATGACAACCTTATGGAAGCAATTCGGGCAAGCAGCATAAAGCAATTAAGGCGGGTAAGTAAGAGATCATTTAGCAATAATTGATTGTGGCTCAGGTATAGTACAAGCTCAATTAATTTTAGTACATATATATTTAATTAAAAAAAATAAAATTCTTAGAAATGTGAGGATAAGAAAACACTTGGGGGGAGGCTTTCCTCTGACTGAGCATTTCTCCGCACACTGATTTCTATTTGGCAGTGATTTTGCCAGACAGTGGGATACTTCCCCAGCTTCAGGCTTGTTACAGGAGATGCTGTGAAGCACAGGGATCTTGGGAGCACATCTGCAGCACCAGTAGGAATTTTGCCATCCAAGACTGTACAGCAAATGTAACGAGCACACTCCCCACCCTGCCCCCACCCCTTTCATAGGTGGAGGTACCAGAAGCCCTTCGGTGAAAGCCTGGACAACGGAAGAAGCAGAGCACTGCGGTGGCCAAGGGGAGGCTGCTCATCCATTCACTGGTGGTAAAATAGACTGTGTAGCAAGCTGCTTCTGAAGTACACTATTAGATTCAAACCATTTCTCTTTTATTTCAAGGAAATAAACCCGCTAAATACAAAACAATGCTTTAAGGATACATTTGCCCTGTAATCTGTAAATATGGAAATAATTTTCTTTTTTATTTAATGAGATTTCTATTGAGAAATTGCTGCTTATTTAGATATTCTTTTCAATATCTGATTGCACATCACAGGACAAGTTCTTCACATTCAGATGTAATAGTTTACCAGCCTGTGGTTTCTTCTTTTTTTTTTTTTCTTTTTTTTCCATGAATTTACAATAAATACGGTTTGAAGCTTTCAAGCAGACACATAGTCCTGGGTTTCTGTGACTGAAAACCTAACAGATCTTTGCATCAGGTTCATGATGGGAAGTCTCCTGGGAAAGAACCTGATATTTCTCCCACCTGCACTCATCAAGCCTGCTTGGAGGATAGTACCTGAGCCCATACGCTAGTGCAATTTCATACTAACATGGGGAAAAAAAATGGTTCATAAGGCTATATACATCCAAAATTAAGCTGTGATCTGTACCAGGTCACTGGTGTTGTGTACTAGGTCCTAAACCTTGATCTAGCAGAAGAGGAAGTGGGTGATGAATACAGCTGCAGTTCATGTTGATTCAAAGTTGAAAAATTAATGTAGATATTTTAAGGATGCAGCAGAATTATTCACCTGAGATCCATTCAGTACAAGTGCACATGGCTGTATCTAGGCAGAACTAACCTCAGTGCAGACATTTAGTCAGACAGAGAAATTGAAGATCAGTCTAGCATTCAGGGATAAAAGGACTTTCATATGATACAACAAGTGGGATGTGAACTGTCAATACGATATGTTGGAAGCAGAGCCAATTGCTTTGGAGATGCACAGTTGGACGTATCACATCACAGGCGGTGGCATGAATAGCCCTTCTTCATGTAGTAGTAGACATACCCCTCTGACAGATCAGTTATGGTTCTGGGTCCTTCAGCTAGTATGAAAGTAATGGTAAGACGAAGGAAACTGAACAGTAGCCAAAACGTTAAAGGTGAGAGGAGATGCATGTTTTGAAGCACTACTAAATATTAATTAGTTTGCTTATTTCAACAATAAATAACAGAATTAGTATCTCTTTTACATAAAACCACACCAGCAAGAAGTAATTACTTCAGGTTACTCAATGTTGCAGTGGTACTGAAAAAATACAGGTAAGCTTGTAGCTAGAAATATTAATGAGAGAGATTTCCCCAGAAAGAGGAATAAATTACTGGAGGGAAATGAAGCATAACAGAGAGGGGATCCATTAGTGGATTA